CATCTCGTCCTCTGTTGTCCCCTTCTCCTCCTGCCTTCACACTTTCCTAACATCAGTGTCTTTTCCAGGGAGTCTTCTCTTCTCATGAGATGGCCAAAGTATTGGAGCCTCAGCTTCAGGATCCGTCATTGAATTTGATCCAACTCCGGAAGGCAGTGGAAGACAGGAGGGCCTGATGTGCTCTGGTCCATGGGGTCATGAAGAGTCGGACACGAGTAAATGACTAAACAACAGGTACTACCAGGAGGTACTACCAGAGCTTAACTATATGGGAATATTCATATTTGTAAACAAATATACTGTACCTCAGTCCCAGGTGCGCCTAATGCAGATCTGGCCCAGGGAACCAGCCTGTCCACTCATGCTTCGCTGCGCCGCAAGTAGTGGCTTTGCCGTCTCCCTGCTCAGTTGGCCACTGCAGGTAGGGGGAGGGAAGACAAGTCTGCTGAATGGGCAGGTGAGCAGGGAGACGTGGAGCTACTGCTGTAATGGTGAGAAGAATGGGAGGCTGGCGGCGTAGGGAAATGTGAGTGGACGGGCCAGTTCTGAGGGCCGGACCTGCATTAGGCACACCTGGGACAGGGATATTCATATTCATTTATGAATATGAACATCCCCATCTCTTTATACAATGTAATTAACAGGTTATTAGGAAAGGAGCTCCTTAAGAGAAGGCTGTTATTTCTAACAGTTTATTCTAGTTTCATTTGCACGTTTGATGTCTTGGGTACTACCACTGAAATATATGCTTCTCTGAAATGGCAATACATATTTTCCTTAACATGTGACATGAAACTCAGTTTCAGCTACCATGAGCAACTTTATTGCTTGAAGCTGATTATGAATGGCACAAAGGCGATATCTGCATCATTCTCACAAACAGGGATAATGGTGCCCAATGTCTCCTCTACCATTTGCCTATTATTGCCTTTTTTATTTCACACTTTGCTACACTTTTATAGCACCAGGGGTTTCTGCATCTTTGGCAAAATACTAGTAGCAAATCATATTCTGCACACCACTCTTTGCATCATAACTGTGAGCAATGACCATTTGATAGTTGCCTTGGCCTCTGCAAATTCTGTGGGGACATAGGAGAGGGCCTTCTGTGACTCTGGAACTCCCTCCCACAGGAAGCTAGGCTGTCCCCACCACCGCTGTCCTTCCAGAAGCAGATAAAGACCTTTCTCTGAAGGCAGGCTTTCCCTTAATAACTGGTGGTTTGAGAGGTGTTTTTTTTAAAAGAATGGCTGTCCTCTGTTGCTTTAAATGTGTTTTAATATTGATTTTATTGCTGTTTTGAAAGTAATATTTGTTTAACTCTTTTTAAATATTGGTATACCTACTAGTTTAAGCTTCTACATATCATCTTTTATGATGTAAGCTGCCTTGGATTCTTTTTAAGCAAAAGGTGAGACAAAAACATTTTAAATAAATAAGTAAATAAAATTTAAAAGCTCAAGGTAAACACAGTAGGACCCCTGTATCTGCTGGATCAATACCTGCAGTTTCAGTTAACCATGGGTGTACCGTCAATTCTTGGCGTACTAGAGATCCATTCCTTAAATCCATACCAGGTTCTCAGAATGTCTGGACCAGGTGGGAGGTAGGGAGCCTGGCAGGGGATGGGATTCCCCTTGTTCCTTCCCTCTCACTCAAGGTCTCTTGGGTGTGGGCTGCTTCAGGTCCTTGACCAAGACAAGGCAGGGTGAGGCACGGGCACACCAATTCCAGCTTCTGCCAACTGAAAAGGTTACGCTCACATCAAGAACTGGAAAGATTGAGTTTAAAGGGGCTGCAGCAGCAGCTCCAAGGCTCAGTCTGTGTTTCCTGAGCAGAAGCACAGAGCTCCAATAGGTAGATAGGCAGAGGGCATACTTGAATATATAGCCCATGCAGAAGAATTCTGTACAGTACTTTTGAACCCAAAGGTCCTGATCATTAGTGTATAGTTGCTACACAACTTACTTCATGAACAATACACGTGAAGAGGGTTCATGTGTTGAAAAGCTGTACTTGATATTGTGCAGCTTTACTTGCCTTAGCCCTGACGTGCATGTCTTGAATGTTGATAACTGAGTATATCCATATGCAGAGTCCCCTACAACAATGTGCACAAGAGCTGAAACTTGTAGGTTTCCTTACTCTGCTATGCAAGCTTAGCACATGAATGTAGGGGCTGGGGTAAGGTTAGTAGCATCACTCCATGTGTCTCTTTCGAAGTGTCAAAGAGACTATCTATACAAAAGGGGTGCTGTGTTCAATTAGGTGAAATAACTTACTAGGTAACAGTCCCCAGTTAAGCTCCAGCTACTCTTCTCTTAAGCATTAGCTGCAACTGTGCCATAAGATGAAAAATAGAAACCTCCATGTCAAGACCTCTGTTACTGATCATGTGCAGGCAACATACCCTCTTGTTTTCAGCCCTGCTGGGCAGGGTTCTGGCTCTCTCTAATGTGCAAGTCTGCTCAAGTGCATGTGAGGTTCTGTTGCAACCGGAACCAAAGGGGCTGCATGGAAGAGGAGGAAAACTGTGTGGAGGTAGGTGGAGTTACACACATGCAGCTGTGTACCTTAGAGGGATTCCTGTGTGCCTAAGAGGGATTCCTCTGCGCCTTAGAGGGATTCCTCTGCTTACATTTTATTTCACCAAAAATTCAGTTAATCATCAGAGCTAATACTGGTAGTCCTGTAGACTCACTGTCAAAATATGGCCTCTACTAAAAATTAGTTGCTGCCTCGTGATTTACAGAAAAAGACTACACAGCAGCACATGACTTACTGCATACAATCTAGCTATGTCTGAGAGAAACCTACTGCTGATGACTAAACCAAGTATGATTCCCTCCTACATATTTCCTCTGCTGGGTTTTATTTGCAGTAACTAAGTATGAAAAGTCATAACATTTCAACCATCTATACAGACAGCTAAATGGCTAATGTGAATTTTTTCACATATGACATTTAATAAAAATATTTCATTCTGCATACATATCCAGCCAATTTATGCCACCACAAAATGCTTTAACCAATGTCACTTGTTTTGGGCTCGACATGACCTTTAAAACATTTTAAATTAATGAGAGACAACAAATCAACAAGTTTCTCAAAATGGAAAAAAGGTCAATTCTTTTCCTAAACTTATGAAGACTAAAAAAAAGTAAAACCACTGTTCAAATGACAAACAAAACAACCAGTCTCCATGTTATGTAACTACAACAGTAAGCAAAGCTACATGTAAATAATTTCCTACTTACTGTATAAACAAATGTTAGCTGTATAAACAAGTGGCAACATTTTATTTTAGCAGTGTCAGAGGAGAAACTGGCATTTTGCAGTTGCAGGTAATGTATGCTATCAGCAAACTGTACCTATCAATGAAGTTTGTTAAGTATAAACAATTAATTCATAAGCTTCAATATACTATGGAAGCCCAATTCTTTTAAATTGCTTCTCTCTCTCTCTTTAGGAACCATTTTCAGACAAATGGAGGAAGTAATATTTTTAATTTTAGGCCAACTGCTGCATTATTTACCAGTACAATTTTTAGTAAAATAGATAATTCAGAACTAAAACAATAAGCCAATCAGCCTAAAAGCATAAATGTAGACAAACATATTTAAATGGGAGTTTTAATGTATTTTCATTACTTTTTAAAGAATGCCTACCTCTCCATCTCTTCCCCAAACTCCTTACACAATTAAAACAGCTACTCATTAAAAACATTTACATGAAGTTTTATAAGGATATATTAATTCTGATTTAAAGTGATATAATAAGGCAGACCTAAAGTATCTGTTTCCAGAAACACCAGACCTGGAAGATGAAAACAATTTAAGCACCATAGTTTTAACAGTGCAATCCTGAGGACACTTGCTTGTAAGACAAAATGTATTCAGTGGTACCTATTTCAAAGTAAACATGTTCAGGATTTCACTGAGTGATGTAAATGCTCCTGGTTATTACTGTCATTAAATAGGAAAGTCTCACATGTCTAGTTCCAAGAAAGAGCAGTACTGCTAAACCATTTTGTGCTCTCTCCCTGCCAGACCCTTTCTTTCAAAAGTACATAGACTTTTCCTATACTTTATTTTAAGGCGAAGAACATTCTTGTTATTGAAGCAGCAGCATAAATCTATTCTTCAGAGAGCCAGAGCACTAACATAGTCTTAAGAAATATGGGTATGTAGCTCAGGAACTGCTGATCCCCTTCTGGGCCTGCAAACATTATACAGTGGTGCCTCGCATAACGTTTTTAATTGGTTCCAAAAAAAAAACCTTATGCGAAAAAAACTTTATGCGAAACACCATTTCCCATAGAGATGCATTGGAAACCGGTTAATCTGTTCCAATAGGCACGGATTGCCGTCCTTAAGCGAAAAAACCCATAGGAAACATCGTTAAACGATACAATGTATCCTCCATTGGAATGTATTGTAGCTGACTCAATAGGTTTCAATGGCTTTGCGAAGTCAATTTTTGCAAAATTAAGTGTGTCATAAAAGGGTCAAAAATGGTTTTAAATGCTTGGATTAGCTTCTGCACCCTCTAAAACGGATGCATCAGGAGGATAAAACAAATTTTAACTTAAATTAGCATCAAAGGCAAAAGATTCTTACACAATCATCTTGATTTCTGTGTAAGAGACTGATATCTCTTGCTGTTCGGAAGTAAGAATATATGATATTATGCAGGTATAATGACATTACACAAATCTTATACAAAGCTACCAGAGGAGATTTTTGAGTAATTCACTCCTTGAGCTTACAAAATTTCCCTTTAAAACGCTGATCTATCTAAGAACAGAGACTGGAGACTGAAGGACTGATTCTAAAAGGGTCAAATAAGATTACTGAAACAGGTTCTTGGAGCCTGGGATATTATTTTACTGTACACACTTTGGCCCTGTAACATTTTGTCCCTATGGCACCTGTACCATTTATTGTAATGGAAAGCCAACTTTCCTATCAAATATGTACCAGTCTTATTCTAGTCACCAGGAATACTGTATTCTCAAAACACCTTTTAAATCTCAGTGTTAAAAGAAGCAGTAAGCAGTTAGGAAACACATCAGTGATGCAAAGGCACAAACGTAGATAACTAAGAACTGTGCAATCATTACCTATTTTCTTTGTCAATTTCGCATACTTCATTAACATGTAATTAAGATAATTCAGGATTCACAGTGTGGTGTAGTAGATAGAGTGATGCAGTAGGACTCTAGAGAACAGGGTTTGAATCCCTGCTCAGCCACTAAAATTGACTGGGGGAGTGGGACTGATAAAACCACTCCTTCAGTATCTTATTTACCTTGAAAGCCTAAGCTGACGGTAGTAATGTGTTAGCAGCCGGACTGTCCTCGCTATTTTGATAACCAGGCAGTGCATTACTGTATGTATATCACAGTGATCACTGACACTCCAGTGATCACTGACACTCATCAGCACACTCTGAGCTAGCAGGAAAGGAATGTAGTTTGTGACGTTTATAAGTCATGATGACTGAAATGGCAGGTAAAGTTGAATTCCCAGGAAGTTTAGAGTAGAGGATGTACAGAGATGTTAGAAAACATACTGTTTTGTACTGCAACTCCCAGAGTCTTCCAGTGCTGCCTAGAGGATTCTGTGAGTTACACTCCTAAAAGAACAACTTCTCCAAGCTCTGAATGTACATATTTCAGGACAAACCATAACAAAGCAAGGAAACACAGATATCTTAAGGCTCATTTTCAAAGAAATATTTTTATGACTTTAGCTGCAGCATCTCAGATGCTACAATATTACATAGAAAAAGCTTATCTATAGCCACAGCGTTCTCTTCCAAATATGCTGACTGATCCAAACATACAATGAGGCACAGGCAGAATACATTATGACTATAAATGTATTCCACAGAAAAGATCCAATCTAGCACCACATATAGCATCTTGCATTGTCATAGCTAACTAGCATCACAATCAAAGAATGATGAAGCATCCAACAGTTAATTAGATCAGATGAAAAGTGCTCCATTCCAATGTTGCTACAACACTTATAGGCAGTGAAAGGCCATTTGATAGATCCTGAGTTATATTCTTTTCAGATGTCTGGAGAAGTTAATTGTTGATGAGTAGAAGTGACATAACTAGAACATTCAAGTGGGGGTAGCTCCTCACCCCAAACAATATCCTATCCAGAAAAACACCACACCTGGAACTTTTCAAAGCCACCAGCCAAGAGTTTTCTTAACAAATTTCACTGCTACAACAAGAAGATTACATTATTTTAAATATATACTATTTTAAAAAGAGATTGTGACAACTGTTAGGAGACAATAGCTAGTCCGCCTGAAATTGCTCAGGAAACATAAAAATTCACAACTTCACGTGAAATAATCTCCCCATATGTTGTGGGGGGGCAGTCTCCTACCCATAAGAGACCAACACCATCATCTGCACAGAAATGCAGATAGTGGTATGCCCCACTCATTTCCTGGTATGCTGGTTTATTTGTAAAGCATGTATGACCTAAAATGAAACATATGTGAGCAGATAAGAGAAATTTCAGTCAGATGTGAAACCTGTGCACCTAATTAAGGACAACTATAGAGCCAGCTGCAGAAACATATCAGAAGTTATGATACAGTGGACCCTCTACTTACGGAATTAATCCGTATTGGAATTGTGTCTGCAAGTCGAAAAGTCTGTAGGTCGAATCTCCATTGACCTACAATGCATTGAAAACCGATTAATCCCATAACCGGCGGTTTTTATTCTATTTTTGTTCCATTTTGGTTTTTTTCTGGTCTGTAAGTCGATTCTCCGGCTGCAAGTCGAATCTAAATTTTGCAGCCAGAGAAGTCTGTAACTCGAAAAGTCTGTAAGTCGAGCCGTCTGTAAGTTGAGGGTCCACTGTATTTTTAAACTTTATGTTAAGTCTGAATATTGCATACAGTATTCAAGTCTAGCTGACACTGTTTCAAATCAGAAAGCATTTTGAATATTCTTATTTCTAGGTGAGTATCAAAAGAAAGTATCAGGAAAATGGGGAACTGACAGAAAAGAATTCATTAATTCTTCTGGAAGTTCTTACTTTTTTGGATATTCTTGCAGGGAATGCCAGAAATCACCTGATTGATCAGTTTTGTAGTCAAAGGAAGACTCAGCATTTTCTCTGAGATTAATTCCTTCCTTCCACATCACTTCTTCAGGTTAAAGTATGTTAAACCTTCTTGCATCCTTATAGCAACCATGTTAACCACCAAAGAACCAATATGGAAAGAGGACTCTTCATGCCCATGCATGAAGGGGTGGGGGAGCGCTCATGCCGGTGCTGGCACACCAGTGTGCGCGAAGCAGCTGTGGGGAGGGGAGTGTGTGCAGGGGGGAGGTCTGCCTTCGCAGCCCGGTCCAGCTCAGGCCACGGACTGGCACTGGGCCGTGGACCGGGGGTTGACGATCTCCAATTTAAAAGACTTCTCCCAGAAGTATCATACAAATAGCTTGGCACTCAGAATGGACCCCTGCAAGACATGGTGTCAACAGTGATCCAGCACTACACCCTTTTAGATCTGACCTAACAGAAAGGATCAAGACCACTGCAATATGCCCAATCCAGCCAGTTCCACAAAGATACTATTGTTGATGATACTGAAACCTGTTCAGAGGGTGAGAATAATAGGGCCACATTCCCCAGATCCAGTCCCTAACATTGCAACACACACACACACACACACACACACACAAAGACACACACAAAGACAAACAGACACAGACACAGACACACACACACACACACACACACACATGTGCACACTGATCATCCACAAATGTGACAAAACAAATGTAGTGAAAGAAACGTATAGTGAATCGGAAACAAGCATTTGTATCTCATACTTAAAACTTGTCTTCTGTTCTAAATTTATTCTCATGATGTACAATCCAGTAATTATACTAGTAATCCCTTTCTAAAATTTCTGACTTGAACATACTGAGATTGTTTCCCACCTGCTTCAAACATATATAATTTATATGAAGTGTAAAATTAACAGTTCAACACTGTAATATAAAAACTACAGTACATTTCATTCAAATAATTGTTTTACTAATAATTTCAAGTATGGAAAAACAAAAGTGATTGAAGCTGCCTCTCAGCTGGGGAGAATATATACAACAGTAAGACATTTTTACAAAACCACTTTCTTACCTTGTTCTTTTATTTGACGAATCTGCTTCACAGTTTCTTTCAAGATTGCACATTTGTCAGGTTTGAAGTTGAAGTTGTCAATATCATTAAAATTAGCAAAAATCAGCTCTGCAAGCTCTTCTATGTATTTATTCTCTTGTTCACGATTACGTTTTTCAGTGTTTCTTTTAGGACTGGAAGAAATGAATAAAAATGGCATTTATAAAAACTGACAGATTGAAGTAGAGAATATGTTCACCTAAAGTGGCAAAACGTAGAAGAAAACAACCATCACTGATTTCTCCAATCAAAATCCTAGATTTTAAAGCATGATTTCAAATTCATAAATATGGGAAGGCGGAATAACCACACACTCATACATCTGACATTTATGTCTGAATAGAAGGTGGCTTTTCATAGTAATGTAAAAGTTTGTTTTATTTTTATTTTTATTTATGGAATACTGCTTATTATGATTGTAAACAGATCAAGGTTCATTTACTGCATATGCATGTATTATTTCTATTAAACTGCATCCGACTTATAGGATTTTCAAGACAAGAGAGATATTAAAGGAGTGATTTTGCCACTGCCACTTTCCACCTCCCTACCTCTTGCCCTTTGAGATTCAATGGCCAACCAAGGTCTCCTGAGTTTTAGTCATCATTCTATCCACCATCACCGGGCACCTACCTACCTACGTACAGTAAAAATGTCCTGCTTATATACCTCCCCATAGCACTTAAAGCACTCTCGGCTGTTTACAAGTTAATTATGCAAGCTACACATGGGCCCCCACTCCCGTGAGCTGGGTACTCATTTTACCAACTTAGGAAGGATAGAAAGCTGAGTTAACCTTGATCAAACTACCTGGGATTGAATCCCAGGGTGCCTTTGGAGCTCTCAAAGGGCTTCCTCCAATGTCGGGCAGAAAGCCCTTTAAGAGCTCCGAAGGCAAAAAGGCAGGGAGAAAGGGCTGGAAATTCAAATTTCCTGCCCTTTCTCTCTGGCCTTTTGCCTTCGGAGCTCTCAAAGGGCTTTCCCCCCCCCCCAACATCGGAGGAAGCCCTTTGAGAGCTCCGAAGGCGCAGATTGCGGCGGCAGGGACCCCCAGGGAGGTCTCCCATGGTGGCGGGCAAGTCTTGGGAGACCTCCCTAGGGGTCCCCGCTGCCACGACCAGCCTCTTCGGAGATCTCAAAGGGCTTTTCCACCAACATTGGAGGAAGCCATTTGAGACCGCTGAAGCCAAAAAGGCAGGGAGAAAGGACTGGAAATTTGAATCCCCCCCCCCCCGTTTCTCCCCGCCTTTTTGGCTTCGGCGGTCTCCAAGGGCTTTCCCCCGACATCGGGGGGGGGGATGTGAGAAGAAGTATTATGATGAAGTATTATAAAGTATTGTGTGAAGGAGAAAGCTTGCTCATAAGATTTTACAAACATTTAATGTTGCAATAGTAAAATGACTTCATGCAAGTACCATCAAACACAGTCTACAAAAGTGGATACACAAACAAACTGTGGCAATGTTTTCTTCATGTTAATGAGATTCCAGTATCCCTTGTCTCCCAAGGCCCATCTGTTTTCTTCAAGATACTTTGCTCTGAGTTACATCAACAAAAGAGGCAGGTGTGAGACCCGGACTTCGGGTCAAGAGGCGTTGTTAGGAGCGCCGTCTCGCCCCAAAGCAACCGTAGGAACTCAGACCGCTCCGCATCCATTCCCTCCCAAGCTGATACATCAAGCCGTCAATACCTCGGACTTGGAAAAGGGAATGAAAGGGTTATCTCTAGCTACCCAGACCACACAAGATTTGGTGGGAAAAGAAGAAGGGAGGTGGGCCTTAGCGGAGGCGGGAATGGGGGAGATAAAAGGGGACCGGGACAGTATCCCAGGTGGCTGGGAAATGATGTGGATGCAGGACCCATGGACTGGGAAGTGGGAGCAAGTGAAAGTTCCTAAGCAGGAGGCTGAGAGTTGCCGAAAGAAAGGACTATCCCAACGCCCGTCTTACTGGGGTGAGTCAGAGACTCGTGAGTGGCGACGCAAGTTAAGGGAGGAAAAGGAGGCTATGGAGAGGGAGAGGCCAAGAGAGCATGGCACATGGAGGAGCTGAGAAAGATGAGGTGCTTCCTGGACCATGGGACACCCACTTGGGAGAAGGATCCCCGTTCTGGGGATGGAGCGGGGATGAGGAGACCACCCCTTTACTAGTCCCAGATCCAGAAGACGTCATGCCCCAAGAACCTGAAAGAGTTCTGGCTGGTCCCTGGGCACCGAAGTCGACTAATCCGTTTGAGACTGAAGCATGGTTGCCCCTGTCGGAGCCGTTGCTCCTTCCGGAGAAGTTTAATCCCAGTTTGGTGAATGTTTCTGTGCCGTTGCCAAGTTTAATAAATCAAGACAAGTCTTTTGGCTTGAAAACGTCTCCTGGTTTATTTGGAGCGGGGGAGGAGGTATCTGGCGGACCCTCACAGCAGGTCCTTCCAAAAAAACATTACATTTTAAATTATGAACACTAGAGGAAATAACAATTGTTATTGCTGGTATTTTAAAAAGGGATAGTTTCTACAGAAAAGGTGTAACAATTTTTGCTAGTCAATTTTTTTTTGGAGGGGGAGGATTTCCCCATGCCTCTACAGTATTGTATAAAACAGCAATCCCCAACCCCCGGTCCTTGGCCTGGGCCAGACTGGGCCACCGAGAGAGACCTTCCCCCCGTGCAGACTTACCTTGTGCCGCCCGTTTGCACCTGCACGCATGCTCCAGCTTGCCCGCATGAGTGCTGTGCATGCGTGGGCCTGAACAAGTGTGCACCACCGTTTGCACACGTGCACGATAGGACGTGCGCAAATGGCGGTGTGCGCCTGAGCTCCCTGCATGCATAAGCATATGGCGGGGGCGACGCTTGTATGGGCGCCCATCTGCCCGTGCAAGAACGCGGGGTGTGCCCCACCTTCCCCAGCTGGTCCGCGGACTGGAAAAGGTTCGGGAACACTTGAATAAAAGATGTATGTTTCTTTCCTAGTGACATCTGCATTACTTTTAAGATTAGACTGTCAGAAGATAATCATAGCAATATACACAGTTAATGGAGAAAATTAACCAAAATGTCAGGCAATCTGGGTTATAATTTTTTAACATCTTCTGTTTTGTAAAAAATTAAAAGCTTTAATTGAAGATTGAATGAGCTAGCAATATTTTTAGTAGAGAGATATTAGTTTAAACCCTTTTCCTGCACCCTAAAACAAAACTCAGGATAAGCATTTTTCTGAATGTAATGAAATAAACAACTACCAACAATTCTCTTCTGCCACTATAACTAAAGCAATGATGAGGCATGCACACAACTAGCCACATATTATCTGTTCTCCTTATTAATTTGTATAAAGTACTTTAATTCCTCACGTTTTATAAAACAGTCTAACTAACCTGGGTCCAAGTTGATCAGGACATTCCTTGTGCTTTCTTGACTCTGTGCAGGTGGGGTCAGAGGAAGTTTCACCAATCCCACTCATCTTAAACACTAATCAGCAACTGAAAAAGAGAAAGTACAGCACAATTGTTATTATCAAGATAGATATCCCTTGGAAAATCTTGAGGAGGGTTAGCCAAGCTAAGCCTATTACAGCAATAACAAAATATTTGTGATAACTTATTTTTTAAAAAATAGATTATTTATTAAACAAACATCCAACCTAAACAACATAAACCTAACACCACAATAAAATACAATTACATAATACACCAGTGCCACTTTCACCCGCAGGGCTAGCAGTATTATTTTCAAAATTAATCCAATCCATTTTCTCTCCAAAAATTCATTGTTTCTTCCCTCAGCATATACCCCTTCCCTCTCCAAAATACATATTCCAGGAATACATTCCATGTTTTCTTAAAATTATTATTTTTTGATAGGCCTCTCCTTATTTTCATATCACATGACAATTTATCATTAATTGACATATCCCATAATTCTCTATACCATTCCTCTAAATTAATTTTGTTATCATTTTTCCAATTTCTTGCAAATATTAAACTTGTTTCCGTAACCATTATTACAATTAAATCCTTATTTTCTTTCAACAATTGATATTTCTTAACCATATTCAATAAAACCACTGATGGGGACATAAAGCTCTAGAATACTCCGAAGATCTCCGCACACGCGCAGAATTAACCCATTAGTGTGTATTCACAGAGACCACGAAGAACATATTAGCATTGTGCTTTTAATCCTTGTGTATCATGTTCAGCCTGAAGTAATAATTTATATATTTGACTTAAAGCTCCCTTTCTTTCTGTCTTTTCCTCTAATTTCAGTCTTTTTTCAATAATCTCTTCAAATTTTGTCATTTTTCTACTTTTCCCTTCCTTACTTTTCCATTCCCTTGTCCACCTTTCTATTTGAATCATGTTAAACCAAGAAATCCCCTCTCCTCCTAAAATCTCTTTTATATTTCCTTTATCTTTCACCTTCTCCATCCAATCTTTTATCCTATTTATCCCTTTATCTTTTAATATATTCTTAAGAGTTTTTTAAAGATTTTCTGGAAAATTCTTTAAATCTACAACCTGGGATAAGGGAGAAGTCAGTGGGCTCAATACACCCCTAAACTACTTCCAATTTTCTAACAGATTTAAAAGGAAACGGTTAGTAATCTTTTAAAACTCTTCTCCAATCTTTTCTTTAAACAATACACTTTCAGTTCTTCTTCCTTACTCTGCATTTCTATTTCTGTCCAAATTAAATTTTTATTACTTTTAATAATATCTGGAATATGTCTGAGTTGATTTGCTATATAAATTTAAATTGGGTAATCCACGACCTCCATTTTTTTGTGTTACATACCATAATTTGTGTTACATACCATAATTTCTTTCTTATTAATCCTCACTCGTTTATATCCATTACAGTAACAATTTATTGTTGTCTGCCATTCTTTCAATTGTTTTTCTGTAATCTTTATAGAAAGTATCCAAAATACAAAGTTTAATTTAGACATAATTTTCATTTTACATAATGCTACTCTACAAAACCAAGAAATCTTTAATTTCTGATAATCTTTTATCTGTCCATTTGTCTCTTTTTCCAACCTATCCAAATTTATTTTAATTATATTCTGTAAATTCCAGCTAATATTAATCCCTAAATATTTAATAATATTTCCCATTTTCCCTTCAAATATTATTTTCATTCTTCTTTTCTCTTCATCCGAGTGGTTTAACAATAAACATTCTGACTTTCCCCAACTTTTAATCCTGTTATATCCTCGAATTCCTCCAAATGTGATTTAAGCCTCTCTTTTGTTTCTATTGGATTTTAACTACAGTATTAAAATTTGTGGCAACTTAAAGACTAACTATTTTCATTTGGCATTTCTCTTTGCGGTCTGCAGCCCATTTCACCAGAAATATATCACCATTCATGAGTATTTATATACTCAGGCAGAATGTGGGGGAATGAAAATGCAAAAGTCAGTAAGTGACAATCTTAACAGCGGTTGTTTAACAGTCATTGAAGGCACCCTAGAAAAACAGAATAAGATACGTTTGGTGATGAACAATATTTGTCTGTGAAATTTAAAAGAAATACTGTAGTTTAATCTCTCAGCACAGCCCAAGGGTACAGAAATGCAGCAATTACAGGTACAGTAGACTGGTGGAGTTGACTGGCAATAAAGACAAACCTGTATCAGTTAAGATATGTAGTGAGGTAAGAAATTCTCATGGTTTGAGATTTTGAATGTACAGAGTGTTAAAATAATTAAGGAGACTGTAAAAAAATTAAATGTGAAAATATACATTGTCCTTTAAAAATGAAGAATATAGGTTTATTAAAAGTCACTGCGTAACGGCCAATTCTCTAGCCAAGTCTGAAAGCAACATCGATGTAAAATAACATTGCCTCATAAAAGAATCTCTTTCATAACTAATACTTCAGCATGGAATTAAAGAAATGATGAGGGGGAAAAACTACTAAGAAAAAACCTCCTAGACTTCAAAAATGCAGATAGAGAAAAATGATATTTGATCAACTTACCGTGTTTCCCCGAAAATACCGTGTTTGCTCCAAAAAACACGTAAGGGCTTATTTTCAGGGGGCATTTTATTTTTTTAATGTACAACAATCTACATTTATTCAAATACAGTCATGTCATCTTCTTCTGGTTGCTACATAATGGTGGAGGGTGGGGTTTCACTTAACTAGGGCTTATTTTGAGGGTAGGGCTTATATTACGAGCATCCTAAAAAATCATACTAGGGCTTATTTTCAGGTCAGGTCTTATTTTCGGGGAAACAGAGTAGTTCACCAGCACTTTATGCTCATGGCATTTTGCATACCCAGAAAAACAGTGCTCAAGTAACTTACTATGCCTGAAAGTGCAGGGGCCCATTAAGCTAAAATAAGGGCTATTATCAGACATAGCAGCAACTTGCTAGTCTTGTAGTTTACAACTAGGTTTTTTTCTCTAACCTTACTATGTTTTTACCAAATCTCTTCTTCTGCTTTAAAATGGGAACACCCACACCCACATTTATTGGACTAAATTATCAGATTACAATTTTTATTTTATTTAGTGTACGAGCACCAAGTTGTTTCTACAAGATGGTGAGTAAAAACAGAGAGCCAGAAAATCCTTCTATCTTTTCTTTCTTGGTATTACCAAGAAAACAGCTATTTCTGATTTCATTGTGACGGTATGCCTTTACGCAGATCCTCTTAAAACATGGTATGAGAGAGGATTAAATCTGTGTATACAATAGAAGAAATTATAAACTGTCAGATAATCCTAGATTTTTAAAGTCCATAAACTTAAAAATAAAACTTGGGGGGGGGGAGAGACTGTCAAAGAATGTACAAAGTGAAGAGCAGAATGAATTTCTGCCAAAACTGTAGCATTTTATAAATTTTCTAAAACTCGCGCTACTTGATGGTATCCCAGGTAGCATTGGTGGCCCAGGCAGCCTTTTCCCATCTGAGGCGGATTGCCCAGCTGCATCCCTACCTTGACATTGGGGCCCTCACTATGCTGGTTCATGCACTGGTACTCTCAACATTAGACTACTGTAATGCTCTCTACGGGAAACTGCCCATGAGGCTGCTATGGAAACTTCAGCAGGTCCAGAATATGGCAGCTAGATTGTTGAGTGGGGTGAAGAAATCCCAACATATTTCCCCTACACTGGCCTCCTTGAACTTTTACCTGTTTGTTTTCGTGCCAGCTTCAAGGTGATGACATTGATGACAAGGCCCTAAACAGTTTGGGACCTTGATACCTGACAGAACGCCTCCTCCCGATGAGATATGCCCAGCCTATTCCATTTTCTCAGGTGGGGAGGTTGACCCTGAGAGACGCCCAGAAAGACAAGACTAGAAACCAGGCCTTCTCAGTGGTCGCCCCTCAGCTCTGGAATGATATCCCACCTGACATCCGCCTGGCCTCTTCACTGGGAATTTTCAAACGATCTTTGAAGACATGGTTTTTTAGGCAGGCTTTTCTGGCATTGGCATCTAAACAACGTGTTGCACCCTCTAGTGTTTATTTCTGTTCTGCCATCTTACCTCTCAATCATTTACAGTATGTCTATGTTGATTTTATTTTATGGTGTACGTTCTATTTTTTATTTTGATTTTTGATTGTGTTTAATTTTACTTAATTTTGAGTTTATATCCATTATTGATAGTTGTAATTTGACGTATGTCTTTTGTGTCTTAATTTTTTTATTGCAAACCGCCCAGAGTGCCCTTGTAGCCTGATGGGTGGTAAAGAAGTTGAACAAACAAACCAAAAAACATACTTACATACATATTGCATTGGGTATAACACTAGGTACCATTATGGTGTCTAATTACTCTGTGTGTGAAGGAGTGGCAGAGGTGATGCAGTTTTCCTGGCAACACCTCTAACCACTGAACTACTATGTATGATAGACAGGTCCAAAATACAGGAATCACCAAGCCTCATTTAGACATGAACTTGATGTGAGTCTGGCTTGGTTTTAGTCATCCACTTCCCAGCAGTCCCTTGTATGGACTACTACAATATTTTGCATATGGAGACAGTGTGGAAACTTACTAGCTGCACTTATACCTTCTCTTGTCTCTTCTATGTTCAAGGAAGTATACATGGTTCTCCTCCTCCCCTGGTTCATCTCACAACAACCTTTTGATGTAGATGAGGCTGAGAGGTTACGCTGTTAGTTTTATGGCATAGTGAGGGGCTAGAATGCAATTGCCCAACACGTTAATCATTACCACACTGGCTCTCTGATCTAATAATAATCATGTGCTACCAAGTCAATTCTAACTTATGGCAACCCTTTTCAGGGTTTTTGAGGTAGAGAAGGCTCAGAAGTGGCTTACCATTCCATTTTGGCGGCATCCTGGAACTGTGCAGCTTGCTTAAGGCCACACAGGCTGACTCTACTCGTAGGATGCCCTGTGGGGAATCAATCTAGCTTCTGGCTCCTAAACAACTGAGCTATCCAGCTATCTGAACTTGGTATCTTCAGA